TTTAGATTTTTATGAATTTATGGACGTTACAATCTCTTCCTCTCGCCATTGTACAAATTCGAAGGGGGTGGTGGTGACACAGTTGGGGCCACTAACAGGTGGTTGATGACAACATCAGTTGGGGTTGCTCCGGTCAATAAAAAAAGAAAGCAAAGATGGTGGGTTGTTGAGGTTTCATGGTGGGTTTTGTACCAAGAATAAGAGAGATTAAGAGGGAGAGAGAGAGAGAGAGAGAGAGAGAGAGAGATGGTGGGCTCTAATTTTGATTATTATTTTTTTAATAAAATAACCCAAATCATAAGCCACATCAGCTTTAACTTGGTATATTAGGTCGTAGTGACCAAAAAAATAGGTCGACATCAACTTTGTTCCCTTATCGGATATGAATATAACTTTAGGGACTGAAATGGTAAAATCGAAATACATAATAGGGTTGTTGCGTCATTTTCCATTTTAAATAAATTAGAACAATAATTATCAAAATTAATATTATATAAAAATTTGTGTTATTACCTTTAAAAACAAAAAACTATGTTTGATGTTTTAAATAATTAAAATGATAAAAATTTAAATGTTAAACAAATATTTTTTTTAAATTGATTAATCATGAAAATAACTATAAATAACATTAAACCATATATTATATTTTTTTTTTTTCATTTCTAACCCGTAGGTAGAGGCCGTTGAGACGATTGAAATTATATAGTTTTAACAGATTACTGCCTTATATATAATTCAAATTAATCAATGTTTTATAGCAACTTAATATAAAATTATTATATTAACATCAACAATAACGTCACTATTATATTTAAAAAACATATATTTGTAAATATTCAAGTATATAGTAGTATTTTATGCAGCACACATGTATTCGGCTATATATATATATATATATATATATATATATATAATATATATATATATATATATATATATATATATATATATATATAGAGAGAGAGAGAGAGAGAGAGAGAGAAAGAGAGCTAGGTTCAAATGTTTCTAGTAACTATTGTGTGTATGAATGCACCAATATGAAATTAGGAAAAAATAAATCATTACGTAAATCATTTAAGGGTATTATAGTAATATTTGCATAGTTAATTATAGTAGATCAACAACAATTCCTTATATCACGTAAGAAGCAAAAGATAAATATAGAACATTAGCCCTAAATCGATTTCAATCGGCGCCCTGCACTGCACATCTATCTTCCTCCTCAACTACCGTCTTCACCAACTGTCCTTCACCACCCATTTATGTTTCTACTCACCCTCATTGAGAAGAAGGTGCTCCATCATTTCATAGTGGACAAGAGGCTGTCGAACTCCCTGCAAATTTAAGCTAAAAATCAGGGCTTTTTTTTTTCATTCATCTGTATACCCTGTTATCCCATCCTCCATCGAAGCATTTTTTTAAAGAGGATGGCATACGAGTACTCATCTACTTCCAAGCTTCAATTTGGAGATAGCCGGCTTCCATGTATGCACTCTATAATATGTTTTGTCTCCTCAGCCCTATCTCATCTCTTGCTTCCCTTCCATTTCCATTTTTTGAAACACAATCCAAGAAACATACCCACCATGGAAAACGATGCTGACATATGCTTTCAAGAAGTGATTTTGAGGGTGGACTACCTGTTTACCGAATACTACCTAGATTGAGTGGTATTGCACGAGGTAATAAAATTGTATTGTTCTTTTGACTATTCAAGCTTTTGATATTTGAATTGTGTTCAATCATCGTATGTTCATTGAAATCCTTAGCTTCAGATAAATGACGCCTTATTGTTTATTTTTTTAGTACGATTCAGATTCAGAAGAAGGTTTCTCGATCGATACAATAGCGCTCATGGTTTTTCACTTTCCTCTTCTGATTTTTTTGGTTCTGCTTCCCTTTCTGATCTGATCTTGTTCACCTTGGTGGCAGGCGTCGTCGTATCCCCCAATCAGGTAATCTTCTCACTTCTTTTAATTTTTAAATACGCTTCGGTTGTACCCCATTCATACTTCTCCTTTAATTTAGGTGGGGTCAATTGGAATTATACATCGGATGAATGAGGCTTAAAACCCTACATGAGATTTCATTTAATCCATTTTTTAATATATTTCTTGATATGTGGATTCGAACTTGAATATCTTGGAACATACACGAAACATTCATGTACTCCTATTCTTAAGCTTGGTTGTATTGCTAGTTTAGAATGATTAGCAATTATACAATGTTGTATTGCCGTATTTTCAATAATGGAGCATGAAGTAACTTTTTTCATGTTGGCATATTGTGTTAATTTTACTTCACCATTTGGGCAAAAAAAATGTTGTATCTAATTAACAAATTACAGTAAGTTGTTTTTATCTATTAATGTTCATTACGTGTATTAAAAAAACTTGCAGAAACATATGTTAATTTTATTGTAGAATTATTAATGGAAAATCAAACATATGTTAGTTTTATTTTAATTTTATTGCATGTAAGGTGTTTGTGAAAATGTCTAAAAGAGAACTTGATATAATATATACAATTTGTCAAAATTTATTTGTATAAATGCATTCTGTCAGAATGTTTTAAGAATGTTTGTTGACAAGTATATTTGCTTAACTGGTAATAATGAATAATGCATGTTATTCTTTCAGAATGCCTTCAAGAACGAATCAAATATTGATCATACCTAAGAAAGACTTGGAATGAAGTTAAAAAAAAAACAAGTATAGTGGCGATTAAAGCTATAACTAGCAGAATGTATTTTATGTATTCTGTTAGAATGTATTTTATGTATTCTTCCATAATGTATTATTTGAATTCTATCATATTATACGTATTCTGTCATAATATATAAAGTGTGAAGAATTGCAAGTAACATGCTTTTAACCGTACTTCGTTGTTGTTGTTGTTGTTGTTTTTGTTTTTTTTTTTTTTTTTTTGTATTTGTAATATGAATGACTGGAATAACGGGTTGAAGACATGATAGGAATTACTTGAAAAATGAATAAAAGATTGATCACACTCACAATTTAAGAATGTTGTTATTTTTTAAGAATTTTATTCATTTTTGTTGATATTTTTTTAGAATATGTATAATTATATTAAAATGTATAAGACTATTAGTCTGTTAGAATATATAAGAATTTGAATTTATGTTTGAATGTATAAGAATATATTAGAACATAGTTATTCTTCAACCGGGGATTCACGAATTATGTTATTCTTCAATAATATTCTAATAGAATAAAATTCTGAAAGAACATCATTCTAACAAAAAACATTATGACGGAATAAAATCGGTTATGTTTACAAATTACATTAGAATTAAAATTGAATTAATATAAAAAATCCAGATTTTTAAAATTAGGAGAATTAATTATCCCTAAAAATTTCCATTTTTAAAAATAGTTAATTGTCCAAAATACTTTTATGCTGAAATTTGTATGATTATATAGTATATGCTATCCCATTGTAATATCATAGACTCTCAGATCATGACCATTAGTTATATTTCATCTAATGGTCCAGATATATGCATTCTGGCACATAATAGATATAAGAAACAAAATAACCTAATTATATATATATATATATATATATATATATATATATATATATATATATATATATATATATATATATATATATATATATATATATATATATATATATATATATATATATATATATAACACCTAGATTCACTAGTGGGCTTGACCCATTTTCGACAACTCTAAAATGTCCATTCCGGAGTTGCAAGGTTATTTTGCAAAAAAAATATATGAATTGATTATTTCCTTCAAAATACTATAAACATTTGATTAGTTTATTCAATTTTCATATATTTATCCATATTTTAATTACATAGTATTTTACAAGTAAGGCCTTAAAAATATATTAGGGACAATTTTGCAAAAATGGTGTCCGTTTAGCCAAAAGTTCTCACTTTGGTCCAAGAAGTTTTAGAGTAGGACTATTAGTTCTCACTACTAGTCCAAAATATATGTTTATAAAGGGAAAATGACTCTTGAGGGTAATTAATTTTTGCGTTTGTACTCATTTGGTCCTTTTTTTTTTTTTTTTTTTTTTGTATTCAATATACCATCGAACTTGTTGTTAGTGTTTACCATAGCCCTTTTGACCGGCTTTTGACCTGTGATAGCCGGTCAAAGGGTTATGGTGAACAAACAACAAGTTCGATGGTATATTGAATACAAAAAAAAGAAAAGGGACCAAATGAGAACAAACGCAACAGTTGGTTACCCTATTGATTCATTTTCTCTTTACTCATTTACAACAAATCCCACATCATCTCCTACTAATATTAATGACTTTATGAGATTCATTCTTGCTTCTCTTCAAAACATAACCTACGAAAGGACATTATTCATACATGTATAACTTTGTAATGCACTTGAATATTTATTAGGGGAATCTTGACTAAGCAGGCGCATTTCATGACTACATTTACATTTCCAATCAAATGATTTATCGTATCATGGATTCTAGACAAGTCTACAAACGAGTGGAATCACAAGTGCTTAGTCAAGATTCCCCTAATAAATATTCAAGTGCATTACAAAGTTGTACATGTATGAATAATGTCCTTTCGTAGGTTATGTTTTGAAGTGAAGCAAGAATGAATCTCATAAAGTCATTAATATTAGTAGGAGATGATGTGTGATTTGTTGTAAATGAGTAAAGAGAAAATGAATCAGGAGGGTAACCAACTGTTGCGTTTGTTCTCATTTGGTCCTTTTCCTTTTTTTGTACTCAATATACCATCGAACTTGTTGTTTGTGTTCACCATAACCCTTTGACCGGCTATCACAGGTCAAAAGCCGGTCAAAAGGGCTATGGTAAACACCAACAACAAGTTCGATGGTATATTGAAAACAAAAAAAAGAAAAAGGACCAAATGAGTACAAACGCAAAAGTTAATTACCCTCAAGAGCCATTTTCCCGTTTATAAATGTTTGGACCATTTTCAAAATCAAAACTAACTAAAATGATTGTTTTATCCCTTCTTTTTGTTTATTTATTTATTTATTTTATCTTATTAAAATAAAACATAAGACAAAATCTAAACCTACCCCTTCATAACCCACTTACATCCCTCTTTTACCGACTCGATCTCTCACTCACTCTCTTCACCGTCCATCGGAAAATTGACTGGTGCCGACACCGACATTGTATCTCTCTTCTACTGCTACGATCACCACCTCTCTATTTCTCTCTATTTTGTTGCTACGATGGCCAAAGTCGTCACAATGCTCTCCTTTATGGATTCTCGGTTTATATGGTTGCTCACGTTCTTAGTTTGTCTTCTCGAATAGGATCAGTTTACAACACCGTCGCCGCCAACGATCATACCACCAGAGATAAGAGATAATTTCGTGTCTAGATCTAGAATACCTAGTCGACTAACCCTTTGTCGTTGACTTATATCCCCCACTTCTAGAAAAACTCTAATCTACTCACCGTTGGATATTTTGAAAACTCTAATCCAATCGCTGCCAGAAAACCCTAATCGATTAGACCTTCTATTTGTCATGGGAGGCATAAAAAGCCTTGAGGGCCTTTAGTGCCACCTTTATCAGAGCTACAAATATGGTTTTCAGCACCACAAATCTATATATCTTGGTTCTTCTTCTTCGCCGAAAAATGGAGGGCTTTCTGGGATGTTCGACATTGGTGGTGACAGTCACATCTTTCAACCCTTTTTGTGTTGGTATTGACCGGTGGTGGTGGCTGCGTTCATATCTCCGACTGCGGCGGTGATATTTTCTCTTTGTGAAAATTAGGTGGGAGAGAGAGAGAGAGAAATATGTTGTATTTTATTTTTCCTTTCCTTTTGATTTCTACAGTAAAAGGAAATTAAAAAAAAACAAAATAAAAGACAAAATAGTCATTTCATATTTTTTTTATGACCAAAACCATAATAAAAAAACATATTTTGGACTAGTTATGTTAGTACAAGACTTTTTTTTTTTTTTTTTTTTTTTTTATAACTAAAATTACAACTTTTGACTAAGTGTAGGACCATTTTTTCAATTTTGTCTATATTAGGACATCCGGAACTAAAAACCAACATTCTTCTCACCTCTCTCGCCGTCTACATTCCTTCGTCGTTGACTTGCCGTTTACCTGTTGACTTTCCGCCCTTCGCTCTATAGCATTTACTCGTCATCCTGTTCGCTCGACTCGCCGTTGATTCGTACCTCCGATATTCTGGCTGCTTCAGGTACTTATGTATGCACTAATTGTGCAGGCACATTCTTACAATTTGTTTCACATGTTATTTGAAATTTTTTTCTGATTAATCATAAATCAAATCATAATAATTTGTTTGTTCATTGACAAGGGATTGAAATTTCAACGATTTCAGTTAAGTTTTTCATTTTGTAATTCAGTTAGATAATACAGAGTCCAACATGCAGGTCATTAATTCTTCTGTATGTTTCAATTCAGAAATACGATTCTCTACGTATGATTCTTTTTTAATCTTAACAGTAAGCTAAACAATAATATTGAAGAAGCTTTAATTTTGGATTATAAGAAATCTTGGTTCTTGTGAAGTACTTTTCGGGTATTATATTCAATGAATCAAAGTTATGAATATGCTAGTGCAGAGTCTAGATCCTGAATCAATTAAGTAATGCGCTATTTACTTTCAGATAGGATAACTCGTGGCCACTTTCTCATCTGTGTGCTTGGGTTCATCCCTTTGATAGTCTTTTCATGTTGATTTTGCAATTAAAAGTAAGGTTTGGTAACATGAAGTCATGTTCTAGGGGGAGTATAGGGGAGTATATATATATGTGCACAAGTGCACATATTCTTGCTTGTGTTTGGATCTTTTAATTGTTTGTTCATATCTAGTGAAATTTGGATGCAAATATGTTTTTGCAATTCCTTTCATAGGATATAATAGTGGATGTTGTAGTTGTTTGTAGAATGGTATTTGGTGTTGATTTGTTTGAGGATTGTTGAACTTAACTTTAGATGGAAATTGTTTAGACAATATTAGGAATGTCTATGGTGGATTAATCAGATCAAGATAAAAGTTTTGTAGGTTAATTAAGCATATTGATTATTGGTTCAATATGGTGATTCTATATCAATACATAGCTGTATATATGTTGGTTATTTTTAAACATATTACTTCACATGGAAAAGTCTGGGGTTGCATATGTATTGTTGAGGTTATATTCTGTGATGAGACTTATGTTGCATAAGGTATTACTAATCTGGATTTTCTGTAGAGACATTATGTATGGGATCTTGAGATTGAGGCACAATTGAGGAAAGTGTGAGATTCAAAAGCTTCAGAACACAATACTTACTTTCTTACTTCCTGAGAGACACGACGTAAGCGATCAAACCAACAGTCATAGCTTATCGAGATACACAGTCGTGGGAAGATTGAAGAGTACTCATCAATCCAGAACTCATAATGGTTGTTCTCTCTGAACTTTGTGAAGGGTCTTCATGTTCATCAACTCATAATTGTCACAGACATGATGTATTTTTAAGTTTCAGAGGAGTTGACACTCGTCATGGTTTCACTAATCACCTTTACAACGCCCTCATGCATGCCAATATCACCACCTTCTTGGATGATGAAGATATTAAAACAGGGGAAGATCTAAAACCAGAATTGGAGAGTGGTATTCGAGGGTCTAGGGCTTCTGTTATCGTGTTGTCCAAAAATTATGCTACTTCCACATGGTGTCTCGACGAACTGGTGTTGATCCTTGAGCAACGTATGAAATCCAATCATGTTGTAATCCCCATCTTTTATCATGTTAAGCCCAGCCATGTCAGGAAACAACAAAGTAGCTTCGGAGATGCAATGGCTAAGCATAGACAAAAGATGGAGGCAGAAACAAATTCAAATAAAAGAAGCCAATGGGCTCAAAAGATAGAGCTTTGGAATAAAGCGCTTACAGGAGTTGTTGATTTAAAAGGGAAGGATGCAAATGGCAGGTAACCGCTTTCTTATCCATATTTCCATACTCCTTTAATATTGTTTAATTAGTACATGAAAGTTATACATAATCTTCTCCTTATGCTTATGCACTTAAACACGTCCCTTCATATTAATCAAATAGCCATATTTTGATGCATTTAATTTGGATATAGATATGGTTGGTATCGAGTCTAATTTTTGCAAATTATGTGATCTCACAAATTAATTCATATAGGCCGGTTAAACCACCCTGCTAATTTTAACACATTTTCTATGATTTTATTATTTTCCCACAATTATTTAATGTAGATAAATCTTTTTAATTATTTTATATGATTTTCATTAATAAACCAAATATGAAACAATTGCAATGCATGTGCTATATTTATATCATTCTACCTTCAAACTATATCATCTTTTATTATGATACACTAATGCTTTTACTTGTAAGTATTAAAGGTTAACTTAGAGATGATAATTATGACCTTGCACATTAAATACTTACATGGTTAGGAGTGCAACTACGATAATAGTTATGATATGGAAAACTTAATAATATAATAGGTTAATATGATATATTTTTGATTTGGATCATTTTTGAAAAATTAAATCTCCAGTGTGACATGTTAGTTGTTTTGATTATTGTTGTTCTTACTAAAGTCAAACTTCAGGTCTGAGGTGGAACTTATTGATGAAATTGTCAAGGACATCTTCCATAGACTACGCATATCCTCAAGGTTTCCACTACCACAACTTATTGGGATGGAAGGTTCCATTAACTTCGTCACTTCATGGCTGAAAGATACATCATCACATACGACAAATATACTAACTATTTTGGGTATGGGTGGGATTGGGAAGACATCTTTAGCCAAATATGTCTATGCGTTACATTTTCATGAATTTGACAAAAGCAGCTTCATTGAAGATATCGGTAGGAAATGTGAGGAAAAATCTAATGGGATTCTTGATGTTCAAAAACAACTATTTGATGACATTTCAAAACCAAGTTCAGTTCAAGTTCTTGATGATTCTATATACACCTCAATGATAGAGAATGCAGTAGCCCGTAAAAAGGTGTTTTTGGTTCTTGATGATATTAGTTCTCTAAACCAGTTAGATGCATTACTTGGAACTAAAGGTTTTTATGCAGGAACTAAAATCCTAGTAACAACAACGGACGCATGGTTAACAAAGAGTTGTACACTATTCAAAACGAACGATAAACCCAATCATGCAATGTACGAGCTTAAAGTCTTATATGAGATCGATTCACAAAAACTTTTTTGTTATCATGCATTTATGTGCAATGAGCCCAAACCAGGTTATGAAGAGGTGTCAAAAAAGCTAGTAAAGTATTGTAAAGGACATCCTATGGCTCTTAAAGTTTTGGGTAGGTCTCTACATAATCGAGATGTAACTTATTGGGAGGGATACATAGATAGGCTAAAGCAAGAAAATGATTCCCCTATAAATAATGTCTTGAGAATGAGCTTTGACTCATTGTCATCAGAAAATGACAAGGACTTGTTTAAGCATATAGCTTGTATTTTTGTTGGAATGGATAGCAATGATGTCGTAACAATATTAGAGGCATGTGATATAGAAACAAAAACTGGGATCACAAATCTCGTCGACAAATGCCTTCTTAGTATCGGATGGAATAATGAATTGAAGATGCATGAGTTGGTTAAAGAGATGGGAAGATTTGTGGTACGTGAGGAATCACTTTACAAGCCATGGGAACGAAGTCGAATATGGGGTCTTGAGTCATTTAAAGTGTTAAAACAAAAAAAGGTAAAATTCCATGTATACTTGTTTAAAGCATTTTGGATTTCTATATTTTACAATATGTTTTCATACCTTTCTTTTTAGTGTATGGAAAATGTTCTAGGTCTAACCCTTGACATGAGAATGCTTGAGAAAGAGAAGTTACACGGATCACTTGAGTTGAAAACAGATGCATTGAGTAGCATGGATAATCTAATGTTGCTACAACTCAATTATGTGCAAATAACCGACTCTTTCAAGAACTTTCCAGAAGAATTAAGATGGTTGTGTATGCATGGGTTCCCTTTGAAGTCTATACCTCCAGATTTACCGATGGAGAATTTGGTTGCTCTTGACATGTCACATAGTAGTATTGAATCATTTGGGATTTGTTATAGCTATCCACAACGACTTCATAAGAGGCTAAAGGTAACTTATCTCCATTTATTACTCTTCTAGGTCGAGTTGATAGAATTCACTAATATTCTAACTTATATCAATTTCAGCAATTAATTGGATCGTGCACAAAAGACAAAAGGTTGCTTGGATCGTTAAAGATTCTTAATTTAAGTTGTTGTGAACAACTTCATAGTCTTCGTGGCTTTGACCACCTCCCTAAACTTGAGAGACTAATACTTAAAGGTTGTATAGGTTTGATTGAGGTTTGTGAATCAATTGAGCAATGTTTTGAACTTGTCCACATCGATCTGAGCTACTGCAACAAGCTTGAAAAACTTCCAAGAAGCTTAGGCATGTTAAAGAAAGTTAAAACATTATTGTTAAACGGTTGTCATCTCAGTGAATCTCGAATCAAGATTAGGGATAAGAAATCATCAGAAATGCTCAACGCTAACAACATTGGCATAAACACAATAACCTCTTCCTCCACTCTTCTCCAGGCTATGCCAAGTTATTCAAAATTTTCTGTCATTTCTTTACCGAGATCTTTAGTAAGCTTGTCACTGGAGAATAATAATTTATCTACTGAATCTTTTCCAATGGACTTCAGTTGCCTAACCATGTTAAAAGAATTATATCTAGATAAAAATCCTCTTTTTTCCCTGCCCCGTTGTGTCAGAAGCCTTCCTAGGCTAGAGAAACTTAGCATGGTAAACTGTCATATGCTTATATCAGTCGAGCATCCTCCACATACACTAACATCTTTAAATCTAATGTTTGATTTTACAAATAAGCCATTGTTACGAAAAGTTGTATTTGATCCACAAATGTCCCCACTCAAGTTCTCACTAGAACGGACCATCTTGGCACATTCATCGTTTGAATTTGAAGGTATGGTCAAAATCCAACCAATGGCTGATGTTGAGGAAAATTTATTACACTGTTTGGGATGGACTAACTTACACTTCCTTAAAGGAAAGCAAGTGAAAATTTCTATTGGTTATAGAGAAACGGAGGAATCTGAAATCCAGGTTTGCTGTAGTTAACTACATGTCTTTGTGTGAATATATACGTATATATAATTAATGAAGGTGGTTCTATTTGGCAGATGTATTATGAATTTGGAATATTCAGCACAATTTATTGGGGTAAAGAGATGCCAAATTGGATTACAGATAGAAGGATGGGGCCATCAATATTATTTACAGTCCCATCATCTCCTAACAACCTCACAGGATTGAATTTCTGCTATGTGCTGACATCTGGATGTCTGGATGAGACACATGGATCTGTAGATGATCTGGACCTTATTAATTTGCCGGTGATCAAAATTTGTAATATAACAAAGAACCTCACATGGATATACGAACATTACATTGAGAAATTCAATGTGGGTGGCCATCGTCTAATATTATTAAGTCATTGGATGTTTGGGATGAATGAGATGGAGTGTGGTGATCAAATTACTATTACAGTGAGGAAGAGACTATATGATACTGGTAATGCAGTTACTAAGGAGTGTGGGGTGAGTTTTGTGTATGATAATGGAGAGAACAAAAAAGAAGAAGATGTGTTGGGTTATTACAGGTCATGGAATCACATCATTGGTGGAGATCTCACTGGATTTCAATCAACAACAGGAGAATACATCCTAAGCAAACGTCGAATTATTTGGCCTACGCTTGATATAGCTCTACGAAACTATTATCATCTGTGTGGAGAAGGCGCACACTTTAAAGGTACATAGGTGTCATTCTTATGTAGTACTTTTTTATTAAAACCGATAATAATAACTAAATGATAGTATTTTAAATCATGCGTTAATCTTCTGCAATCCTTGCCAAATCACTAATCTATTTTTTTCATTAGATAAGCTGTACTTCAAAGCTTTGTCTAATAGGAAGCCTGGCATATTAAAGGATGGTCCCTAAGGTACTTTTATTCCAAAAACCCTTTTCTCATAACATATATAAACCCACTGCCATGAGCTTATTTCTAATATGTTTTCACATAAATAAATCTTTCCAGCTGGCAGTCCACTCAACATACTTACACTTTGGCTTGCCTGACCTTTCCTCATCCCAACAACTCAGCAATTCTAAGCAGTCTTTTTTCATGTTTTCAAATGGCAATGAAGGTGCTTTTTGGTTTTGGTGTTTTCTTGTCTCGGAAAGTTGGATCTTCAAAACATGCATGTTCAGAATTTGTACAATACTAGGTGGGATATATTTTATGTATAGATATTTATTATTATACCATTTTTTTCAAGGTACAATGTGTATAAGGAAGAAATGAAGTAGAATGTTGTAATAAACATATCAATGAAAGTACATTGCCCAAAGCTAGATAGCTTGTATACGGAATTTTCATCTATTCATATTTTTTAGAAGGGATTCAATCAACCTCCATCTGGAAATCAACCTTCTACAAAACCCTTTATTTCCATGAGAAACGTTTACCAATGTCCAATACATTGGGTTGTCAGTTATATCCTTTATGTGTGCATATATTGTTTGTATTTCCATTCCTTAATGTAAATTTGTTATTATCTTCTGTACTTTAAAAAATAATTTTAGTAATCAAGTTAGTGTTTGTCTTTAGCCAAATCCAAGTATTTCTTAATTGTATTCATGACCATCAATATATCGTTGTTACTTTTTTTTATCAAGAAATCACTCATTACCATGCTCCTGAGAATTTTTCTCCGCTTACTTGGCAGACAACATGGAAACCAGTGTTGTTGCACTTGAAATACATTAGATCCCGATTTTATTAAACAACAAAGTATATGTATAAACCCAACTACTATTTAGAATTCATTATATGAACTCTAGATGTTTATTTATTTTTCCAGGATTTATGAAGTTTTATGAGTTAATTTTGGGCCCTATGCAAATATGTGTTTATTCGGCTAGCTGTTGATTTGTACTTTTAGTGTTTAACAAGTTACAATAGGATTAATTGTGATTATTTTTATGCATTTAATTTAGAGCTTGATGATTAAAAAAAACATTTAGTCCAGGAGTCGTGACAAGCCAACAAGTGAGGCCCAGGAATCTTACGTTCAAGAAACATAATATAGGCTTTTAATTGATTTTGTGCGTTCATCCAATTTCTACTAGCTGTTTGGTTATTTCTGGTGCTTAAACAAATATTACCATCCAGGTGTCCCCTCAATTGTCACATAGGATGCAATATTTATACCGAGAAAATTTTGTAATTGACAATCGATCCTGTAACGGATGAGAGTTAAAGATAATCATTAATCAAGACATCAAAACTGACAATCTGTGATTAAAACTATGTTTAATGCAAGTTTTATAACTGAAAAGTCTAATACACTTTTAGTTATGAAGAAAAATATTAGCTAAAAAGCCAACCGGTGGTGCATTCGTGTCCAAGGGGCAGAGCCCTGGCTGGGATCAGCACGAAATTTTTTTATATAGGTTATGTTTCTATAAAAAAAAATGCATCAAAAATCCGGGTTTTTTTAGAATTGACCCATATTTGACTTTTATCCAAATATCCGTTTTTATGACCACTGTCATATGATAGTTTTCAGACAAAGATCTTAATATCGTTTTTGGTCTCTTTTCTGGTACATAGAAAACATCATCAAAACACTCTCTGTTCTTGTATCTCCTCTCTAAGTCTTATCCGATTAAGGAATATTGGGAGTACCATCCAGATACTTAAAAGATCTAATTGAGAATTTGTGCACCGGCACTTTTTATTCATTACGTAACTTATTGTCAAACAAAAGCCAACAGGATATATATATCCTGAGATCCTAAAATTCAGTAAAAGATAATGAAAAACAAAACAGATAAATGTGAAACATCTATGATTATCTATTCATTGGAATAATCTAGATTCCTTTACTCCCCCTCAAGCTGGAGCATGAAGATTTTGAATGCCCAGCTTGTCCGACAACGACTTCAAACGATCTGAACCAAGTGGCTTAGTGAGCAAGTCAGCCAATTGATCTTGAGTGCTTATCTTGACAGGAACAATCTCCTTTGACAAAACACGTTCTCGTACGAAATAGCAATCCATTTCGACATGCTTGGTGCGCTCATGAAACACCGGATTGTGAGCAATGTTGCGGGCGGATTCATTATCACATAAAAGAGGTGTTGGTGCATGGAAATCAACATCAAATTCTGCCAACAACCAACGGGTCCAAAGAATTTCACTCACAGTAGTAGCCATTGCACGATACTCGGCTTCAGCTGAGGATCGAGAAACAACTGATTGTTTCTTGGATTTCCATGAAATCGGTGCACCTCCCAAGAGCAATATGTACCCCGTCCGTGACCTTCGTGAAAAGGGACAACCCAACCAATCCGAATCGCTATATGCTATCAACTCAACATCTTCGGTCTTTGGTAACAACACACCTTGTCCCAAAGTAGTTTTGAGATAACGAAGTACTCGCATAGCAGCATTCCAATGACTCTGTCTAGGGTCCGAGACAAATTGGCTAAGAACATTCACGGAATAAGTAATGTTAGGTCTCGTTGCTTGAAGATATAAGACTCTCCCAACGAGACGTCTATACACACTAGCATCGACCCGATCTTCATCTTCTCCTTTATTTAATTTTAAATTTTGTTCCATTGGAAACCTACTGGGTCAACATCCAAGAAAACCTGAATCTTCTAGGACATCAATGGTGTACTTTCGTTGACTAAGAACCAAACCTTCGCTTGTACGAGCCACTTCTATGCCCAGAAAATATTTCAAGGTTCCGAGATCCTTGATACTAAAACTCGCATCAAGTCTAGATTTGGTATGCTCTATCTTTTTCTTGTTGTTACCAACAATTATTACATCATCCACATAAATAAGGGCTGCCACAAAGGTGTCGCCATGCTTATGAACGAATAGTGAATGATCAGCTTGAGATTGTCGAAATTCTAGACTTTGGAGGGTTGTAGTAAATTTTTGATACCAATTTCTCGAGGCTTGTTTTAACCCATACAAAGAATTTTTGAGCTTACAGACTCGTGTTTCGTTGTCTTTTCTAAAACCCTGTGGTATCTTCATGTAAATGTCTTCGTCCAAGTCTCCATGTAAAAAGGCGTTGTTAACATCTAACTGGTGTATGATCCAATCACGTTTGACAGCTATAGTGAGTAGAACACGCATGGTTACAAGCTTAGCCACCGGGGCAAAGGTGTCATGAAAATCCACACCTTCCATTTGGGTGTAACCCTTAGCAACAAGACGGGCCTTGTAGCGTTCTATATCTCCATTTGGCTTGTACTTTATCTTATAGACCCACTTGGAATCTATAGCTCTTTTTCCAATGTAAGTTCCCAAGTGTTATTTTGTTCAAGAGCTTGGATCTCCCTTTGTATGGCTTCTTTCCATCGGTCATTTTTAATAGCCTGATGAAAGAACTTTGGCTCATCATGGGTGGCGGTGGCAGCTAAAAAGGACTTGTGAGCATTAGAAAATTTATCATATGAGACATAATTAGTGAGAGGATGTACCGTGGAGGCGACTCGATTGGCAGCGAGTTGTGGATGACTTATCGAAGGAGGTAGTTGTACGTCATAATCTTTGAAGCGAACTGGTTGAGATCGAGTTCTGGTCTCTCTGTTGCTGTCAGTGTTGCTGATTTCTTGGTTCTCGTGATTGTCACTCTCCACGAGTTCGCTGTTTTCATTGATGGTAGTATTATCTAGTTCGAGAGTATCATGATGATCTTGGGCTTCATCGCAGATGTGGCTGTCGACGATGAAAGGACGTTGAACCGGAGTCGTGGTGACCTCCTTATTAGTGAAGACAAAGAGGTGTTCATCTTCTTCATTTGTCTCCTTACTTTCTTTTATTTGTTTCATTGGAAATTCATGTTCTAGAAATCTTACATCTCTTGAGACTACTAACCTTCTGTACTCTAAGTCATAAATTTTGTAGCCCTTCATCCCCAGTGGGTAACCAACGAAGATGCCTAGTCTACCTCGCGACTCAAACTTGTCTCCACCGGTTTCTGTGCTTCGATAGTAGGCCAAACATCCAAATACTCTCATGTGATCATAAGTGGGTGATTTATTAAAAAGAACTTCATAGGGAGTGACCCCATTGAGCACCTTCGAGGGAAGCCTATTGATCACATAAGTAGCGGTCAAAATACATTCTCCCCAAAAGGCCTTGGGAAGATTGCCCTGGAAACGAAGGGCTCGTGCCGTCTCAAGCAAATGTCTATGCTTGCGTTCAACCACCCCATTTTGTTGGGGTGTATATGGACAAGAAGTCTCCAAGACAATTCCCTCTTGTGCATAAAAGCTATGCATTTTATGAGAGAAAAATTCTCCTCCGTTGTCACACCTTATACGCTTGATCTCCTTCCCAAACTGCGTTTTGACCATCTTGTGAAAATTTATGAGGTGTGTGTTAGCCTCATGCTTATGTTTGAGAAGAAATGTCCATACGGATCGACTAAAATCATCTACTATAGTCAAAAAATAATAAGCCTTTGAAAAAGATGGGGTTCTATACTTTCCCCACACGTCACAATGTATAAGATCAAAACAATTTGTAGTCTTTATTTCACTAATGGGAAAAGGAAGCCTTGTGTGTTTAGCCTTAAAACAAGCATCACACACTTCAGCTTGAGCATTTTTAGAAACATTTTTAACAAACCCTAAACTAGAAATCTTCTTGGGAGATGGATGACCTAGCCTCTTGTGCCAAACCTCAAAGGTAGTAACAAAAGCTTTCTTCTCCATCGCCCCCATTCGATATAGTCCTCCACTACAGTTACCCGTACCAATCAAGTCCCCCGTTACTAACTTCTGCATCACAATGAAATCAGGAAAGAAGGTTATAGCACAATGTAAGTTCTTGGCAAGCTTATTCACAGATAATAAATTATAATTGAAATTCGGAACATGCATGACTCCATTAATCTTAAGGCCTCCTGGAAGGGTATGTTCACCCTCCCCCATAACAGGTATTTTGTCACCATTAGGAATGATGACGGGTGCCTCCTTCGTGTATGTGATTTTGTTATCAAGAATATCACTTCTATGGGTTATGTGATCGGTAGCACCCGAGTCAACGACCCATCCATCATAAGGATTTTCTCTACCTGCCAAGTTAGCCTTCGGAATTGTCTCATTAAATGACTCCTCCTTGAAGTGTTCCACAAAGAGGTGATATTGCTCATCGGTTAACCCTGGTATAGGACTAGGACCCATCTGCACGCAAGCTGCCTTCGGCTTAGGTTTATCCTTCTTCCCGGGCCACCAGTCCGGATACCCTATCTTCTTGAAACACCCATCCTTATTATGACCTTCTTTCCCACAAAAGGTGCATTTTTCTGCCTTGTCATTACTTTGCTTGAATGTCTTTGGAATGGGCTTGCTAGCTGATTGAGTTCCTTGCCCTCGTGCGTTTTTCTTCCCCATTAAATTCACTTGAAAAGCCGCTGCTTCACCACCAACTCTTCTTGATCCTCTAGAAATTGCTCGTTATTGCTCATCTTCAGCCACTAGATGGTATATTGCCCCCAAGGACGGAGTTGGCTTCATGGCAAGTATTTCTGTACGGATGATAGAAAAATCATCATCGAGTCCCATGAGAAACTCATAAATCTTCTCCCTTTCTTTAAGTTCACTCAATCTTTTTCCCAATTCACAGTCACATCTGTCACACGTGCAACGGGGCATAGGATGAACAAGTTGCAGTTCATCCCACACAGCCTTTAGTTTCGTGTAATAAGAAGAGACAGAAGATCCATCTTGTCTGGTGGCATTTAACGACTGTTTCAGCTCATAGGCACGTGGTGCTCCCTCATTCTCGAATCTTTCTTCAAGGTCCTTCCAGATTTCGGCTGAAGTATTTACATATCTAACACTGGTTCGAATGTCTTTCTCCATGGCTGTTGTCATCCATCCCTTCACCATGGCATCGGCTCGCATCCAAGCCATGTATGTAGGTGCTGTTGATTCCAGCTTCTTGACTGATCCATCGACCAGTCCTATCTTATTCTTTGCAAACAGAAAATTAGTCATCTCCTGCTTCCATTCACTGAAATTATTGTCGTTCAATATGTCGTTAACCTGCATCTGTTTCGGGTAGTCAGACGGGTGGATATAGAAGGGTGAATTGGCATCAATGACATCTCCGTCCTTCTTGCTTCCGTCTCCTTTCTCCCCTGTTCATGATCTTCGTTAACCTATGACCTAACAGATCACAGGCTTTGATACCATAAAAGATCTAAATGAGAATTTGTGCACTGCACTTTTTATTCATTACGTAACTTATTGTCAAACAAAAGCCAACAGGATATATATATATATATATATATATATATATATATATATATATATATATATATATATATATCCTGAGATCCTAAAATTCAGTAAAAGATAATGAAAAACAAAACAGATAAATGTGAAACATCTATGATTATCTATTCATTGGAATAATCTAGATTCCTTTAATACTTTAATCTAAAAGTGTTTAACACGATTCTCAGAATTTCCAAGTCTTTCTATACCCTTAATTTCTAATTGATAATGTGTTGGTGATAAAAAAATTTAATGCTTTGAGTACCATTTTTTTCATTATGGTAATCTATTAGTGTTAGTGATAAGGTTATCATACCCTTTGGCCATACATTGTGCCCAACAAAGCTGATGAGATAGGACTATCGTGGTTTTATTCCTTCTTGTATTTGTCGTGGAATTTTTTTTGTAGAAGTGCTTATATATTACATTCGATGAGCTTCCATTATCATTGTAGATGTCGCCACATACTTCCTTCAAAGGAAACTTTCGATAACTACAAGTTCACAACGTATGTAAGTGTGATCAAGGTAGTCCCACTCGTCAAATGTGAATGTGTCGCGTTTCCAATTTCTTAGCCTATCTAAACATGGAAATCTCTCCTTTCATTAGTCCCTTTATTTTGACTTCTACTGGTGCAATGCTTTCTAGTTGCTTGGAACACAAACCTCTTATCAGTTCACTCAAGATCCTGATTGTATTTTTGTTTGGATCTTTCTTCTTAGTATTGTGCATTCCATAGTTTCATGACCTATTAAATAATGGAATTTAGAGTATCGATGGTTGTCCTTATTGCTGAATCTTTCTATTTTCTTTCATCCATTGTTCTTATTTCCCTTAACAAATTTTGCTATTTTGTTTCGAACTCCATTCTGGTAAGCATGCAGGATAGATTTTGTTGTGTGGTGGCAATTTGTTTGATATTTGTATTTTGTTGTTGATGTACCTTTGGGGCCCTTGGTATTCTTATTGTATAGCACTCCGCTATCTTTAGGACTGTTGTATTGTCGATCCCCATGTTTACTTTCTTTTTTCTGATGCCACTTCCTCTCGTTTCATGAGCCTATGGGCTAGTTCCATCGTGTCTCTTTTTGACTTCGGTGGTTTTCCAACTAACTATTTGAATAATACACCATCGAGTAATCCATAAGTGAATGTAGCTATGACCATGTCATCTTCTCTTTCTAGCGTTCAATGTTGCCTTACTAAATCAAAAGACAAAAGCCTGCAATGATTCATCCTCCCTCTGCATGCAACTTAAGATGGCATGTGCATTTGTTGTGTATTTTCTTTGTTGCACAAAATGAGTTTTGACTCTTTGCCATTAGAAAATGTCAAGGAGATATTTAAGCATATTGCTTGTATTTTTGTTGGAATGGATATAGATTCTAGTGTAACAATATTAGATGCATGTGATATTGAGACAGGATCTGGGATTACGAATCTTATTAATAGAGGTGTTCTTAGTATCAGATGGAATAAAGAATTAACGATGTATCAGTTGGTCCAAGAGATGGGAACATTTTTGGTATGTGAAGAACACTTTACAAGCCATGGGAACGAAGCCTATAGGGTCATGAGTTATTCAAAGTGGTGAAAGACGAAAAGTAAGATGTTATTTATACTTCTTTAAAGAATTTTGTATTTCTATATACATATCTAACATTTTAAAAATATTTTTGCATCCCATTTCTTCTTAGGGTACGGAAAATGTTCTAGCCTCACCCTTGACATGAGAATGCTTAAAAAAGAGCACTTACATGGATCAGTTGAGTTGAAAACATATGCATTGAGTAAGATAGATAGGATGATGCTTCTTCAACTCAATTATGTGAAAATAACCGGCTCTTGCAAGGATTTTCCGAAAAAGAAACTAATATGGTTGTGTATGCATGGGTTCCCTTTGAAGTTTGTAACTTTAAACTTACAGATACGGAATCTGGTTTCTCTTGAGATGTCATATAGAAAGATTGAATCATTTGGGATTTCTTGTAGCTATCCACGACTTCTTAAGAGGCTAAAGGTAACTTATCTCCATTTATTACTCTTCTTGGTCGAGTTGATAAAGTTCACTACTATTCTAACTTATCTCAGTTTCAGCAATTAACTAGATCGTGCTCAAAAGACAATAGGTTGCTTGGATCGTTGAAGATTCTTAATTTAAGTTTCTGTGAACAACTTTGTTGTATGGGTGGCATTGACCGCCTCCCTAAACTTGAGAGGTAGAGGTTGCGCTTGTGGTTTGTGAATCAATTGAGCAATGTCCTGAACTTGTCCTCATTTTCCTCATTGATCTGAGCTACTGAAACAAGCTTGAAAAACCTCCAAAAAGCTTAGGCATGATAAAGAAAGTTAAAATATTACTTCGAAACGGTTGCTACCTTGGTTCAACTGTGTACCAGGCTATGCCAAGCTATTCAAAGTTCTTTATCATTTCTTTACCAATATCTTTAGTAAGCTTGTCATTTAAGAATAATAATTTGTGCACTAAATCTTTTCCCTTGGACTTTAGTTGCCTAACCATGTTAAAGGAATTATATCTAGATAAAAATCCTATTGTTTCGCTGCCCAATTTTTTAAGATGCCTTCCTAGGCTTGAGACACTTAGGTGATGTTTCTTTTTTGTCTGCAGATCTGTGTGGCCTCTTCTGTCTGCGTCGCGCAGACCACGCGTGGACATTAGCCTTCGCAGACTGTGTTTTTTTTTTTTTTGAAGATTGCAGATCTAAAAATTTCTGCGCACCCACTTCTTGGCACAGATGTGGACCAGAGTCTTCTAACATCTTCAGACATCTTCTAGCCTAAAAAAACATATATATCTTTATTTTTTCTAAAGTTTTTTTTTTAATTTATAATTTTTCAAACTTTATTAATGATAAACAATTTGAAAAAAAAATTACAAAACTTTAAAAAAAACGTTCGACATTACAAACATGATATTTTCAACAAATTTATAAATAAAAATTTATTATAATAATAGTCATTGAAGTTGTTTATATAAATATGAAAAAAAATCATAATATATTCTTATATTTTTTGCAAAATTTTATAAAACATTATTTAATACAGTATCATCAATTTCTCGAGAAAATATTTATGGTACGTTTTTAATGGATTTAATTGAAAAAATCGAAGTTTATTTCCATCCATTTATGTATCAAATTCTTTGATCACTAATTATAATGTTTAGTTATAACTTTGCAACCAAAGTTTTTGGTTTTTATAAAATATATACGTTAATTCATACCATTTTTATTTTTATTTTTATACAATAATACATAAAAGTTATTCTAGATTCGTTAATTATTTATAACAAAGTCATAAAAATATGAAAAAATCATTTTGAAGTTTAAAAAAATCAATTTATTTAAATTTCAGTTTATTTTAGTAGCCCACAGATGTTAAAAAAACAAACAGTCTTCATTTTTCAGACCGCAGACGTTTGGTCCACCTCTTCTACTGCAGAGGTCTACAGATGTGGTCCGCGGACTGCAGACATTTTGCCTCAGAAAAAACAAACAACACCTTAGTATGAGAAATCGTTAATTTTTGACGTCAGTCGGGCATCCTCCACTTACACTTACATTTGAACCATGATTCTCTTTCTGATAATCCTTTGCTACGAAAAGTTGTATTTGATCCACAAATGTCCCCACTCAAGCTCTCACTAGGATGGAGGACATGTTCATGGTTTGATATTGAAGGTCCGGTAAAAATGCAACCAATGGCAGCTGTCGAGGAAAAGGTATTACATTGTTTGGGTTGGACTAACCTAGACTTCTCTAATTCTTCTAGCATGAGGATTGATGTTTTGGGTATAGCATCAGAGGAATCTGAAATCGAGGTTAGGTGTATTTTATTATATGTGTTTCTGTGAATATGTATGTATATATAATTAATGTGTTGGTTGTATGTGGCAGATGTATTACATGCTAAATTGGATTACAGATGGAAGCAAGGGGCATGGGGTGATTATGTGTATGATGGAGAAGAAGAAGGAAAAAAAAGATGTGTTCGATTGTTACAAGTCATGGAATTACATCATTGGTCAACATCTCACTGGATTTCAGACTACAACAGGAAGCAAATGGCGAATTGTGCATTATGACAAGGATATTGAGGATCAACTCGTTACATAGATTGGAAAAATTTGTGCTTTGAAGGTAGATGTCATTTTTATGTAATACTTTTTATCTAAATCCGATAGTATTTTAATTCATGTTTTTAGTTTTCTGCAATCATTGTCAAATCTTTAATCTATTTCTTTTCATTAGATGAGTGAGTGTACATCAAAGCTTTGGCCCAAAGGAAGTCTGACGTACTTGAGGATGACCCGTAAGATACTTTTATCCAAAAAACCCTTTTCTCATAACATATATAAACAAGCACAATTTGGCTCAATAGACATACAATTTGGCTCATCTGACCTTTTCTCATCTCTACAGCTCAACAATTCTAAGTAATCTTCATTGAGGTTTGTTTTATGTTTTCTAATGTAATGCCAATGAAGGTGCTTTTGATTTTGGTGTTTTCTTGTCCTGGAGAGTTGGATCTTGAAGACATGCATGTTCAAAATTTATTCAATACTAGGTTGGATGTATTATATGTATACATATACATCTTATTCGCCAAAACACAAGCCTTTTGCACAACCACTACAAGAAAAATGCTAAATAGCTACGGAAAGTTACTATGGAATCAAAATCCGTTGCTATTTTACAACCGAATATGCTACGGAACGACTTGTCGTAGCTATTTTGCTACATAAATGGTTACGGAATTGCATTACGTAGCTAAATCTTAAATAGCTACGTAAAGTTGTTACAGAATCTAAATTCATAGTTCCTTTAATACGGAATATGTTACAAAATGGTTGGTTGTAACTAATTTGCTACGGAAATGGCTACGTAATTGCATTCCGTAGCTAAATCTTGAATAGTTGCTACGGAATTAAAATCCGTAGCTAGTTTACTACAAATAATGCTACAAGTATTTTGGTTGTAGCTAGTTCTCTATGAAACTTGTTACAAAATCCATGTATGTAGCTAGTTGGCTACATAAATGGCTACAAAATAAAAATCCGTAGCAAGTTAGCTATGGAATTAGGATCCGTAGCTATTTTGTTAGGTAATTTGCTACAAAATAAAATTTTGTAGCTAATCTATTATGGAATCTGTTACAAAAAAAGGTGAATTTGCAAAATAGCTACGAAATCAAAATCCATAGGTATTTGGCTACGGAAAATTCGTAGTGAAATAGTTACGGAATATGTTTCCGTAGCAAAATATAGAAGATTTTTGAAAAGATATATTAAAAATGCACAATTATTTTTGAAACTCAACAACAAAAATAAAGTATTATTTTTAATTGTTTTGAAATTTTAATTATAATATAATTTTTACATTATAAATATTTTAGCTTCAATTTTTAGATTTTGATGACATACATTTGCTAATTTTCTTATAATAATATTATTCCGATTTTGAAAATTATTACCTCTAAATCAAAATTTATTTACCCTCTATTGTACTAGCTGTTCTAAAAAAAGAATTAAAATGTTTTATTTTGACTTTTTAGTTAAAAAAATGGTCAAGTAATTGCCACGTAAAGTTTTTTTCAATAATGTTTGAGTTTGTTGCCATAATGTTTCATCAGGGGCAAATTAGTAAATTCAATAACCCCAATTTACTTCCTCACAAATTAGGGGTATTTTTGTTGAGTTCAAATCCATCGCCGGACAATGGTCAAGATCGGATCTCTTCCTCTCTCTCTCAACCTGCTCCGCTGTCGCCCGTTGCTTAGCCACGTCGTCGCTGCTCACAACATTCCGATTTCAAGTACTGCCCCAAGCCCTAAACGATTTCATTGGTATTACTTGTATCACTATTCTGTTCTTTCATGCTAATTAGGAAGAAAATTCGACAGCTAAAGCACTATTCTGTTAAGAAACGAAGTCTCCATGATTGACTTCTCTGTTAATTTATACACGCAATAAACAAAGAAGGAATATTTTTATGTTAATTTATAGAAAGCAGGATCATTTTGTCAATGTGATAAAACCATGCCCCCAAGGCTAGTTCGGCTCCCACATTAATCATTTTGAAGTCCATACTTATCAAAATACAAATTTGACAAGTGTTTATTATGCTGTTAGTAGATATAGCATAACATTCAGTTTTAATTTTCTTTAATAAAAAAATGTGGATTAAAGTACTGAAAGAGTGATATGTACAACAAAAATCCTCAATAGACACAAATTTGGTAAAAGATATAGGTTAAAATCACCAAATTTGTGGGCTTACTTTAAAATTCTCCATGAAAAGTAAAATCCTGGATGGCATACTCTGGGCCAAATTTGGTAATAGACACAAATTTATAGCCAACTTTATTATTCTTACTTTTCAAAACATAAAAGTCTCTACCGCAATAAAAGGCCTTATGACTGAAGCCAACATCATGGGATGAATTTAGGAGCGAACAATTAAATTCATCGTCTTTGAAACGACAATTAATTATTATTATTGTTATTTTTTCGTATTGTAGATTCTTGCAACTACTTTACCCTTGTGAAACATATAGTTATTTTAAGAAGATTCAATGGTGTTGTTATTATTGATATCTTTCTTGCTTTTACATGGTTTTTGCTTGGATATGACTAATGGCATATATTTGTAATCTTTATGTTTTTAAATATTTGTTTATAGTACAAATGATGATCAAATGAAGTTGTCTGTAATAGCTAATCTCTTAAGGGCAGCAACAAGTAACTTGTATAGATATTCTATATTTAGAGCAAAGGGCATAACTGACAATTTTTCAAAGTATGATGTATTATAGGAAAAGAACTTAAAATTAGGATGTTTAATAGAAAAAAATTGAAAGTAGGGTGCTATATTACACACTTTTTGGAGAGTAGGTTGTTCTATCTTGACGAGGATATGGAGTTAAATACTTGCATGTTATTTTCTTAGATTAATATTTTCATTTCAAGAAGTAAGGGTAGTATGTTTGTTTCCTAATCTTTTATTATTCCCTGATTACACCTAGTTTTTGATACTTGTGTGCAGATATAATAAAATGAGCAATAGAAATAGATATTGGATGTATGAACGACTTGATGATCGTGGTCATGTCTCTCATGTTTTCATTAATGGTGTGAAAACATTCATCGAGTTTGCTTCTACTAAGCAAAGTTATATGGATGGAGATAAAATTAAATGCCCATGCACAAAATGCAATAACAAAGCATATAAAGCAGTTGATGAGGCAAAATATCACTTATACAAGTTTGGTTTTGTTCCAAATTATGGGTTACATATAATTATCAGAGGGAGAATATCTGTAAAGTCACTATTATGCAGGGACCATTTATGTAACTTTTATAAGCACATGGGTCATTTCTGTAAATTCTCTAAAAGGCATGGACCAAAGTTATATGGTATTGGTAAAATGACCGAATTTGCTTGATTAATATTGTCCAACTATAAAAAGGTGGAACAAAAGATGTAAATGCCCTTTTGATTCAACACAACATGAAAGTAGTGTTTGTAGTAACTAAACTGTAAATGTTTGCTATCATTAACTAAAAGTATATATTTACAGGTTTTGAAATGTGTCAAAGAAATGCAATCCGTCAAAGGAATGGAATCGGTCAAAGGAATTGAAATTTGAAGAAATTGAAACGTGTCACGTGTTTGGTTAGAAGAGTTTGTAAGGAGAATGGAATTGAATTCAACTCCGTTCGTTTACATGTAAATATCTACTTTTAGTTAACTAAACTATAAATGTTTGCTATATGATGGTTTTAAAGAATGGATGAAAAATGACAATGTTATTAATATTCTAACTGTTAGTTTGCTATATGATGGTATTTATTCAAATTTTGTGACATATATGATCTATAATATATATGATCTATAAAAAGAACTCATCGATTGAAAATGCCACATGCATTTACGACAATGTGACTAAGAAGATCAACATATTCTTAAAATATTCGTAAAGGAAAAATCAATTAGATGTTATTATATATTAGTATGTTATATTGTTTGAACAGCTGAATATTATATATTAAATTGTCACTAGTAGGAAGCTATTGAAACAAAAGCAATTTAAAATCTGCAAAAATGCCTACCCGTCGTGAAGTTGTGTTTTCTATGCACAATCTAATATAATCAATGGATCTTGTTGCCACAAGACAAGGGTAAAATTGTAATTTTACCCTAAAATTCCAATTGCTTCTAATTGTCCATCCAATTTTATAATTATCGAGAAAAGTATAAAAAAATTATAAAATAATCCAATTAATATTTTAACATCTTAGCTTATTCGATCCTCTATCAATCAAGACCACGTTGACTTTGACTTTCTGCATTTGTCAAACATCTTCAAATCTTAAAATTTTAATATAAATTTTCATTTACCACGATCAGAATGATATTATTTATATATTTTATTTATTTACCACGATCAAAATTATATAAATATACTCACGTAATTGATAGTTCAGGGAGAACACGACTCGTGCGTATACACAGGTAGATGAAAACAAAGAGCGAAATTCCACCTGACATTTAAAAAAAATAATCAAATATTCAGATTAAATACACCAAAATATAATAATTTTTTCTGTTAATTTAAAGATTTTATTTGGTAAATTTGATTTCTTAGGAGAGGACCCATCAAGTCATCAACCGATCATTAAGGGAAAAATGGGTCAAATAATTGGATCATATCTTCTTCCCTAAATCAGAGGTAATCGGATCATATCGATCGTATTCCTCATTCCTCAGATCACTTATTACGCCATTATCGATCGGAGCTTTGTTGTTCGCCGCCTGCTCCATCCCTACCTCTCTTTTGCCTACCTCGATCCTCCCTAAATTTGATGCTAAATCAGAGGTAACATTTTTCTCTCTTCTTTTTTGCTCTATTTTTCTCGATCTCTCCATTGAATCTTTCTTCTTCGCACATCGTCGCTATCTGGTCGTCGCCGTCGATTGCTGCTTCTTCCGGTCATCTTTCTCATTGACCCTGTGCAGGTACTATCCTTGATCCTCCCTAAATCCCTTCCTCGGTTTCTCCTTCTCCACTCTTCTGTGAACTTAGCCGGTCATGATTTTGTTTCAGAACTTCTAAATCTTCCAATGAATTTTGTTTCAGAACTAAAATTATTGTTCATTACGCATTACAGAACACTGTATCACACTCTCATACACACTTAACACATATACACCTCTACTGCTCTTTTAAAAGGATTTTGTCAACCAAATGGTTAAATGTCATATGACTTTATGTAGAAAATAAGCATACATTGTATGATGAGTTTATTGATCAAAACTAGAGACAAAAACTACATTCTGTTGTGGTCTACTGATGATAGAATTAAGATAACTTGGTGATGAAAACTAGATTATGCAGTAACTATGCTTTTGTGTGGTACATCACATTACAAACACCTCACTCATATTTTCTTTTTTACCTTAAGCATCAGAATCTTGTAAGAATCTTGTAATTTACTCCAATGCTTATACCAAGCCCTCCAAATTCCAATGTTTAACAACTCATGAAGATGTTTTCCTATCCTATAATAATACATTGTGCATTCTATACATGTATAATATGACCTTGTTAGTTGATGAAAAAGATGACTCTTGAAAAGAATGTATTTGATTGATCAAGTCAAGACTCGAGAATAAATAGAATACAAGATGGGACAATCATAAGGTCCTATAATGTGATGTGCATTCATTGTGCTGTTTAATTTGATGTTACTTTACTAGATGGCATATTCTTTGTTTGTAAAATGTAATGTTGCACTTTTTACTTAGATGAAGATAAGGAGACTCAGCTCTCATTTTGGAGTCCACTGTTGGATCTGAGCTCTTTCCTGTTAAGGTGAAGTTGATAAAAAAATCAGTGTCCAGCAATGTTAAATAAAAAGCAGTCAAGTAAACAAAACATATTGTATTATTCCTAGAAGAAATTAAGGTATAAAGTACAATTAAAGTTGCTATTATAGAACTCCTAAATTAAAACACAGACACATAAAAGTAGCAACCATGACCTAGTGACCTCTAAGGTGGTAGTGAAGCTCTAAAGTACCCTAGATTGGTAAATCTATGTCCCACGGATGTAACTGTAAATCTGAATATATCATTGTAGTCATTAGTTTGTTTTAATTGTAGTTTTTGTGCAACCATAGAAATCATTCCAAAGTGAATTCTCAAAATGAGCTCTTTCGGTATCACTTTATGTATAAATATTAATTAAAGGCATGAACTGTTTCAACTTTTTCTTTGCTCCAGGTTCCAATCCACTCCAGTCCAATCCAATCCAATCCAGGTGATAACAAAACCGTCATGTTTAAGTTTTGTGCTTTATCTTTTATACTTACTATGACATTGTAAGTTGTTATTTTTTTCATTTTTAAATGCAAAAATAGCAATCTACGTTCATTAAAGTATTTGCATTATACTTTTAGTTTTTGTATTTTTTCAAAGTAAAAAAGTAGAATGCTAAAATAAATAAGCAAACAAAAGTACATTGGTATTTTAAAGTAAAAAGTAGTATGCTTAGACTTTTAGTAAGGTATTTCTATAATATTTGTGATCTAACAGATTTATAACTTCCTAATTATTTAAAATTTCAGGGAATATGTCACAATTCTTATTAAGAGACACATTTGAAACGAAAGCAACATACAAGTGTACGTTTCATAAACAAACGCACAGATGATGCAAAATATGCCCCATTATCTACACCACTATTGTTGTCATCATCATCCCGTACCACATTATCATCTATTGGTACTGTATCTGCCCCAACATTTGCTTCACATGTTGGTGCCACATCATCAACACATGCATCATCCATACCTACATCATCCAACCAGTCATCCTTACCTACATCATCTACCCAATCATTTGTATCTACATCTATCCAATCATCTACACCTACATCTACTACATCATCTGTACCTACATCCACAACAAATTGTAGTGAATCGGTTGAGGAAAATGTTGGCGTTCAACATCAAGGGTATTTACTTGGATCTACAGGACTGGATGGGCGTCTATATATTGGAGTGCAAGATAAGGAGTAAGTTAAAATTCTTACATTTTTATCAACATTGAGCTTCATGAATTTTACAATGGGGTTGATTTTTTCTTTTGTAGGTTATTTTCTTCAGGCCTATGTTCTTCCGTTATCTATGAATCCTTTGGTGAAAGAGCTGATTTAAACGGGTATAGCTGGGCAGCTTTAAGTGACGAGACAAAACTCCTTTATTGGGACAAGTTTCATGTATGTATCTCATTTATGCAATTATTAGGTACTCATTAACTAAAAATCTCATCTTTATATTTTGTATTGTAGAAAGAGTGTCATTAGGATGATGCAAAAACTCAGTTAGTCCAAGCTTGTTGGGAAAATAAGGCAAAGGAAAGATATAGACAATATATCTACAATATAAGCTCAAAATGGAAAAAGTCGACTATAAAAAAAAACCTGTTAATATAACATCAGAAGTGTGGACATCCTGGACTGCAAGATGGAATACTGAAGACTTCAAAAAGAAATCAGAACAAAACAAAAAAAATAGGCGTAGAGGTGTAGCTGATGGACAAACCCTTTCTACGCATACCGGTGGATCGACTTCTCATTCCAAGATTGCTTCTAATTTAGTAAGTACTCATTTAATTTTATATTATAGCAATCTACTTTCATTTAGATTTTTATAAGGACTAAGCATAAATACATAAAATAGCAATGTACTTTCATTTAGTTGTATGTTATTTTATTTTTCATTTTTCAAGAGTGGAGCCTAAATGCAAAAAATAGCAATCTACTTTCATTTACTTTTGTATCATAGCAATCTAGTTCCATTTCGATTTTTAAATGGGTTTAGCCTAAAAGTAAGTTGCTATTTTTTCATTTTTAAATATCTAAGCCTAAATGTAAAATAGCAATCTACTTTAATATTGATTTTTTTTTGTATATATGTAGAAGAAGCTTTGGGGACATGATCCGGCACACCATGAACTATTCTTGTATACACACACTAAGAATCACGATGGAGTGACTTTTTTAGTTGACAAAGCTAAAAAAATTCATGTAAGTTTTATTTTTAATAATTTCATGTAAGTTTTATTTTGATTTTTTTGTATAAGTTTTATCTCAACACAATTATAAAATTATAGGATGATTTTATGGAACGATGTGATCGGTTGGAAGCAATAGGAGAGGAAATTGATGAAGACAAACTATTTTATGATGTTGTTGGGGGACACGATCGAAAAAAGAGATTATATGGATTTGGCTCATATGGAAAGCGCATTCGTTCTAGTAAAGGATCTTCTGAAATGCATCGCGAACAATACGAGGATAATAATGCCGAGACAAAAGTCGAGATTGAGAATTTGAAGAAATTAGTTGAGACGCAACGCGAACAATATGAGGATATTCAACAAGAATATGAGGATGTTCAGCAAAAATATGAGGATGCTCAGAAAAAGAATGTGGAGTTTCAGCAGAAAAATGTAGATGTTCAAGCTAAGTTTGAACAACAACTCGCACAAGCAATGAATGTCATTAACACATTGAGTGAACATGTCAAAAATTTTATTAATCGATGATAGAATATTATGTATCGAATAATGTTTTACGTTAAATTTGTAGCGACTTTTGATTTTGAAATATGAATCTTTTGATGTATTGGAATATTTCTTTTAGTTTCTACAGAAATACTTTGTTATTTTTGGTTTTATATTAATTGTATTTTTGTAAATTGATATAATAAGTCAAATTAAATAACCGAATTTTATAGAAAAAATGGTATGGAACGATTGTTATGGAATTGACTACATAAAAGTTGTTACGAAATATGTTACGGAATGAATGGCTACGGAATTTGTTACGGAACGAATGGCTACGGAATTTACTACAGAACAATTAGTTACGAAATTTGCTACGGAACAATTAGTTACGGAATTTGCTATGGACTAAAAGGCTACGGAATTTGCTACAGAACAATTAGCTACGGAATTCGCTATGGACCAAATGACTACGGAATTTGCTACGGACCAAATGGCTACGAAATTTGCTACATAACAATTAGCTACGAAATTTGCTATGGACCAAATGGCTAAGGAATTTGCTATGGAACAAAATAGATACGGAATTTGCTACACAATTCATTGTTACAGAATTGTGATGGAAGTGCGTTGTAGTTGAAATGCTACGGATAAACGTTGTAGCAACGACCATAGCAAAATTGCTACGGAACTATAATTTCGTAGTTAAACATTTTGCTACAAGAAATCTTACTATGGAATCTCATTGGCAAATTCTGTAGCAACTTTCGTAGTTATTTAGGTTTAGCTACGGAATTACATCATTTTGCTACGAAAGTTTTCCGTAGTTAAATCGAAATTTTCTTATAGTGAACACTGATCAGCGGACACATTTTTGTGTTAATAAACTGATGTTATGTTCAACATTAACTAATATATACTCCTCACAATATTCCCTCAGAAACCAACTTTTTCATTCAAACGCCTTGCCCCTGTTTTTATTTCATTCATCTTCTTTCATATCATACAAATTGACCCATCTACCCTCGTCTCTATCAGATTATGTGAATGAGATCACGTTCACTCCATGGAACTCTCAACAAACTACTCTCAAAATACTTTTGCTCCTGTAACAAGGTCTGAATCGGCTCTGTTAGGGCATTAACGTATGTGCTAATAACTCTTTACGTCATAAAGTCATTTACACGAAAAATTATCATATTTCTAAGTTCTAACATTGGTTTTACGTACGTACGTCTATTAAAAAATCATTTGCAAAAAAACCTAATTGGACCAAACACTTTGAAAACCAAATGTTGCTTTATTTAACTAAAAATGTCAAAAACTGTGAAACAAGGAAGACATCTTTATAGACTTTTTAGAAAAAAAAATTATTAATATTTCACTAAAATGTAGCCTCAAGAACATTTATGCAATAATTATTTTGATATTGCTATATTTAGGAAAATGACGGAAATTATGGCAACGTGACCCACCTTATATAACTTGTTACGTGGTGGAAGTTACTTGATGGAAGTAACTGTAACTGTAAGTATTTATATGGGCAAACCGGTTTCCTTTTATATGAAACATAATCACAGAACTTTTTTTATCACTCACAGAAACAAATCCATGAGGATACCAATAATTTTCTAGCAATCTTCTATCAATTTGGACATCATGATGGAATCAGTGGCTTCATTTGTGAAGCAGATTGATAATCCAAGTACGCTCTTTGTCACTGAAATGGATTCGTGGCGTTTAAATTGATTAGAAAAGTGATTGGGATGAATAGATTTCTGAAATTAAACATGTGGTATCAGGGTCTTCTTTTGGCTTTTAATCAATTTGAATAAAAAACTTCCGTTCCTATTATCATAAACACCCCAGTATAAAATAAAATAAAAAACCAGAACTTCTGTGATTCTTGCATGAAATTTTCTGGTAAAAACCCATTAGAAAACTTGCTTTTATACATAGACTCATATAGCTTTGGATTCTAGGTTTTAATCCTTCAAACGCGTCCCCTTGGTTTTCAGACGTTATGACATTGTGAAGGGGCGTCCTTGATATCGATGGCGACGCTGCCCCTCAAAACTTCGAAACCTTTGCCCTTAACGTCGAGGGGCACCGCCGCACCGGCGTCTGAGTAAGTGGCGTCAAACGGCGTTCAGGAATGGGGACGATGATTTTATTCTTGTTTTTTTCGTATGAGTTGTAACACAATGGCGTCATGGGCTGAAGCTAAAATCCATGTAATCTGGGCTGAATCTCCTTAACGTGGATTGTTCTATTAGCCCAATTCGCTTTTTCATATTTATTGATCCCTCGTAGGCTCGTCGCCAAACACAACCCAGCGGTTTAAAGATCTTTTGTGATCAAGAATTAATATTGATTAATGAAGTTAAGGAACAATTCGATTAATAATAGTACCGTACTAAATTCAAATTTTATACACAAACTAGTTTATTAATTAAACTTCTATAATAAAATTTTATAATTATTAATCAATTATTTTAAATAAATCATTTTAAATAAATTATTAATTAAGAGATATATCAAAATTTTAAAGTTATTATAACTTCAAATTTAACATATAATTAGAAAATGTAAATTTGAACTTTGAAATGAGTTGCCAAATATATCTGCATTACACACGACATAGTATTAATAAGGAGTTGTATTAGAGTGACACTTAGCAAAAGAAGATTAAAACTATTCATTTATTAGAATAGAGAAGATGTTAAGGGTCCATTAGTTTTTTTCTAGTTGTATCTTATTTGAATAGATGGCCCAATGGAAAGTTATTTCAATTGGATATAAGTTTAAATACAACATTATTTTTTGCTAACATGTGTTTTACAACCCGACAAACTTAAAGGAAATTCATTTTGTGACGGAGTTTTCATGCTCGTTGATACAGTTAGCATGGCCGCTATGAAAAGGAAGACTTTGGAGGTGATCGTTTTGACTACCATTTGGATGCTTTGGAATTATAGTAAATTCCAATCATCTAAAGTGAAGAGAAATAATATTTTGAAAGGATTGTTACTCATTCTTTTGTTTGGTTTTCTAATAGGAATGTTAGAAGTAGCATTAATTGGACCATATGGTTAAAAAAAAACATTTTTTTTAAACGAAAAATCTAACATACTTCTAAACTACTACTTAAATCCATATATGTCCACAACAAGACTTAAACTCTTAACCTCAATGAGGGAGAGCAATGTTGGATACCGTTGGGTTAGAAGCCTTTTAGTAATTACAAAACCCTTTGATTTGTAATGTGTCCATTAAATGATAAATTTATATAAGAGTTACTAAAAAGAATTGTCCTTCAAATTTTCTTTATTTTTGGATTTTTGGGACCTAATCTTCCAATTTTTCAGTTATTTTGTCATTTTCTTTGAATTATGGCGTAATGCCCATTTCTAGGGTTCAACTATAAAAACTTAAGGATTTTAAATCAAGGGTTTAGGTAAAACCCTAAGTCGTTGTCGTCACAACTAGCCTTTTTGCTAGGAAATTATTGTTGGATATAGTGTCTAAGTCCATAATTTTATTTGGTATGTACTTGATCCGACCCGGCATGGTCCATTTGGGTTGCATGGCATTGCAATACTTGGATAGACTAAATGAGAGAATATGGCACTTATGATTATTAATATATTATAAGTTCTAATATATTGATAATAATATTATTTAATTAGTATTTGATCAAGTATTAATCTAGTATTAATTTGGTGATCAAAGTGAGACTAATTAAATATATAAGGGTTGACTATGACAATCATCAATTCTTTTATGGTGGATTAATGA